GTAGGTTGTACAGAACAATCAGCAGACACATGAATGAGGATCAAAGTAGAGGACATATATGCAGAGCAGAAGTGAACAATGTTGAAGTCCTGCTTCTCAGCCTTAGACTTGCTTTCCTACCTGGTTCCTTAGAAGTAGATTTTTCTCACTGGCAGCAGACAAGTCATGCAAAAGCTTGCTTTCCCGATCAGCACTTCCCTGCAAACAGAATCAAAACTAAGAACTTGTACTCACCTTAGTTCTTGCACCACCAACATACTCCAACCAACACCACACCCAACCAAATCCAACCTACCCCATAAACACCATGGCTCCTCTCCATATCTAGCATTCACCTACCTAATTTACACAAGAATTTTTGTCATGGCAGCTGTGGTTAACCCGCCAGTGGTAAAAAATCATGCTTGCTTATCCCATCCAGCATCCCCCAAATCTACACAAACCAGGTATGACCTGGAACCCTGCTCTCAAACCTAACTAGGGCTTATTCAGCTCACCTGCTTTTGCTGCTGGAGCTCCGTAAAGTGGCACTCAGCCATGCTGGTTTGTTCCTGTTTTACAGCATTCAGTAGCTCTCCCAAGTTGTGTACCTTCTGCTCAGACAGAGCCAGGGCAGCTTCAGTCATCTGCAGCCTATACAGAGAAACACTTCCCAGAGTCCCTTCTCAGAGAGACACTTCTACTGAGCTCTCTACGCCACATGGTACAAGATGCTAACACATATTTGGCAGCGGGTGAAATCAGGCTAGCTAAATGAGGCATCTTTTGGCCCTGGGAAAAGGCTATCGCTTATCTCTCCACCCAGTAGCCTCTGCAAACCGTGAATGACCTAGGACTTCACAGAGCCTGGTGTTCCAGCGCCCCATGGCATTTTCCCCGTGTTATCTTCCATGAGCTGTTTTCCCTGCCTGGACCCCTCCAGGAGTTGCCCACTCTCGCAGGAGAGCAAAGCTGGCTATTTTGTACCACTGCAAGTTGTTTAAAATTAGGGACAGAATTTTAAACACAGGTAGCAGAAGCGATTTGCTTATTCTGTACATGAGGGACATGTCCACACCGAGGCATGGCATAATGAAATTACCTTTACCTAACAGAATTGAATGACCCAGGCTCATTAGTGTTTGAAGTCTAACCACTGTCATGTGCATATGGCTCTACACAATCTAACGCTACTTTTGGGCAGCTCCACCTCATTGTTCCTAAGCGTACAATCTTGTACGCTTCCTCCATATCTGCAGTGGTTCTCAGAGGATATTGCCAGCTGCCAGAGGAAGCAGGTACAGGCTCTTGCCACGCTGTAAACTGTGCAAGGAACATGCCCCCATCCCATCCCCACAATCCTTCACTTTTCCTTTTCACCGTCTATAACTCACCTGCTCTTACACCAATTCACTGTAATTTCACTTAAAAGCAGGCTAAATATCCAGTGTGGCAAATCCAAAGGCCTGATCTGACTGTAATTTCTGGATATTACTGTAGAACTAAGTGAAATAGTAAGCCAGCCACTCTACAAGATTATCCCCCTTCTCAACAGCTCTGCCGAGCACTGCCTATATAGCACAGAACAGTGGGAAGGCTAAGGTTTTCCTCCTCCATACTTGGCTTTCAGCGAATTCATAATACAGTGCTGTTCATCCAACGCTTCCTGCAGCTGGCTGACTCGTGCTGCAGACATCCTGCATTTGCAGGGGAAAAAAAAGAAAGAAAAAAAAAAGTTTGTGCAATTTCTGTCAGTAAATGGAGGGTCCCCGATTCTTCTATCAAAGAGCAGAAAGCATTCAGAAATTCAACTTACCTGCCACTCCTGGCTATTTCTTCTCTCTGCTTGTCTATAGTGTCCATCAAATCCAAGAACTATGAACAAGGCAAACATCAGTGAGAAAATGAACTGCATTAGCTTGAAGCATTTACATTTCTCATCTTTCTCTTCCTAGTGACAGATGAAGATCGATCAAGCCACTCTATTTAAAGCGAGGAGAAACTGGGGGTTTGATGGGTTCATTAGCACATCTGACTGAGGTCATCAGCTATAGGTACTGTGCACCATTAGATGTCAAAAAGAAAACAGACTCGTATTTCTAGGTTTTCACCACTTGGAAAATATCAAACCAGTTGCAAAAGAACTGAAAGCACGAATACGGGCGAAAAAAAACCCACTAGAACTCCTCCAGAATCCAGAGTGAATATGTTCAGCAGGGCACGTGTCCATACCCCATACTGTCATGGATTTGATTCCTGGACAACCTAGCTTTTTTCAGTAAATTAGCAACCCAATTTACTAAACCATGCTGTGTGCCTGCCCATAAGAATGCACATGCAACTTTAGGTGAACAATCATCCTGTCACTGAGTGTTTCATGGGGACATTGAGGGAAAACATAGGATTCCAGCTGCCCCATTTGAATGGCCAACATGTAAAATTGCTGACCTGCTTGGTCTTCTCATCCTTCAGACTCAAAACCTCCTTGCTGAGTATGTACGCTCGGTTCTGCGTCTCACTCAGGATAGTCTGACGGTCTTGGTTGTGATCCATGGCTTGTTCTGATGCAGAGAGAGCAGGAGAGCATGCACATGTTTCTAAAGCAACAGAATAGCAAGCACTGCTGGAAGACATAGTGCTCAGGATGACACCTGGCTATCAGAAGCACCAGGACAGTAGTCCTTCTCAGGCTGGCCTACATAGAGAGACTGCCCTCACCTTACAGACACAAGGTGGGGTAGAATCGAAGAGAGTAGTGTATATGGGATAATCAACACCCCAGCCACAGGAGAGCCATTCAATGCCACTGTGAGTAGGACAACGACAAAGGACATGCTGCATTAGCCATATCCAAACTTGGCTACTCAGAAGCAAACTAGAGTTGTCCCACACTCACACGGCATAGTAATCCCTAACTCAATACAATTATTTTTTTTCCTCTTGCTGGTAAAAGTGACACCTCCAACCTGACCAGCCCTCATTAAAGGAAAAGAGGAAGCAATGTAGGGCATCATGTAAATGCTGTTGAGAAAGGGAGAGGAGGGGAGGAGGGGTAGCTCTCCTCTGGAGCAATAAGTGCCCTATATCCCTCAGGTGCTGAAATGAGAAAGGAGTTACTGATTCTTTCCTGTGCAAAAAGTAATACTTACCCACAGCTTTCAGGATGTCGCTAGGAACATTGTTCCCAGCCAGCTCCAGCCTCTTCAGGGTCTTGTTGCTGTGCAGGCAGTTCAGCAAAGCTCGGCCACCCAGAAGCCCAATATTATTCCAACGCAAATCTGTACAGAAAGCAAACTTTCAACCCAGTAGTCACACATCTGTTGAAAAACGTACGGCTCAAGGAAAACGATGCTCCTTATACATCTGTAAGCATCGCTAACTAATCCCAGACGGTCTCAGCACAAACATAGGTGAATGCTGTCTCCCTTTTCAAGACGAATGAGAGGGAGGGAAAATGACAGACAAAGCAGGAAAGGCAAGGATGCAGTAAAAGTGCAGTAAAATGCAGGAAGCTGTTACAGTTCAAAAGGTACACAGGTCTGCCCCTCACATTTTCATCTCATGAGCCTTCCTTCCACAGCCACAACCAGTGGATGAAAAAGAACCAACAGCAAGAGCCATGTTTTCCTGAAGGAAATTCTGGCAAAATTCCTTACTACAGGCAAAGCAAGCGTGAAGTAAGTCTCAGAGTCTGGCACAAGGCATGCCAACAGCACCCACAAATAGAAATGAACCCATTCCCTCCTCCACTAAGAATGGCTCTGCTCCAAGCACACAATCTTCATTTGCAGGTTTAGATCCAGAGATTCCAACTACAATTCCCGCTCTCGAAAGGCCACAGGCCTGTGACCTCTACTCCCTGCACAAAGCCTGCAAAGCACTCCAGACTGACAGGAATTGGGAATGATACTGACCAGTTAGCAGAGATCCAGGCAGGCTGCAACAAACCTGAAGATACATGTGTGTGTGAGCATTCATATATATAGGTGGGCAAAAAACTAGTCTCTCTTACCTAGCTCCTGAAGGCTGGCATTTTGTTTCAGCGCCATGGCCAGCTCTCCAGCCCCTTGATGGTTGATCTGGTTATTGCGCAGATCTAGCCGCTGGAGAAAGCTGTTTGCTCCCAGTCCTTGGCAGAAAAAGGAGAAGCCCTCCTCCCACACACCAAGGCTGTTCCATTCCAAGATAAGGCTAGGGAAAATCAGACAGGATGGGAGTTCATGAAGTAAAGAGACAGTTGCAAGAGCCTGAATGATACCTGGATCATGGTACCCATTTGAACACCCAGCTCCGCTAATAGACTCAGTTTCAGACAGCAGGATGCTGCGAGAGCCCTGCATCCTCCAAAAGGGCACCTCCAGTTCTCACTCCTTCACCTGTCCCATCCCTCACAAGAAACTGCGCTACTTGACATTCCTCCTACCCCAACAAAAAGCACTCTCAACCCTCTTCTAACATTGTGCTCCATCTAGCAGGAATAACAGAAAGAGAGGTAGATAAAATTTTTTACCTCTTGATGGATTTGTTCTGCCTAAGAAGTTTTCCCAAAGCCTCAGCTCCCACGGTTCGCAGGTTATTTCCCTGAAACAAAAGTCCCAGGTGATCAGTAGGCTAAGCCCTGTCACAATCCAGCTATCCCATCAAACACCACCAGCTGCACTTCAGCTGTAATGCAGTCTGTCAAAGATGGTCTGAGTAACATTTGTCTCATATATCAGTCAGCTTTCCAGAAAATGGAAGACCCTGGGAGGAATGGTGCATACATGTGTTGCTAGTCTTGTGAGGCATCATGACTGAGAGCTCATAAAAATCACAGGATAGCACAGGATCAGCATGGCCCACGATGGGATGGAAAATGCTGATTCTAGATAAGCAGAACCATTTCAACACAATTCATTAAAAAGGGCTCGGCTAGTGCCAGCACAGACGAGAAAGAAAGGTGTGATACAGTTCAGGACTGTAGCTTCAACGGAATAGCTATGTGCCAGAGGAACACAGACAAAATGTCACTCTTGCAGTAGTGATCATCACATCTGAAAGCGGATGCTTAGTTCCAAGCCCCAGGCTAGCTGAAAGACTCTGGCAAGCTGGATAAACTCTACAGAAGCACAAGTCAAACAACTAGTAACTCACTGATTAAAACAGAAACCTAAAGAAAAGCCTACACATGCCTCACCTGACCGAGCGGCAACTGACAAAATACATACAGCAATAACTTCCTATCAAAACAGAATAACTGAATAAAAACAGACAAGAAGCTACACAGTAACTTTGGAAAGTCATGACATAGAGTTAAGGAGGCAGGAACAGAGTCACTTGAGAACAAGAACTTTACAGAATTACACATCTTGTAGAACAATCCTGCACTAGGACTGTCTATTTCTAACTCTGATTAAGCTTGTGCTCCTATTTCCTTCCCTGTTTCTTTGTCTTAATTTTATTTGAACAGACTGACCTTCAAGTCCAAAGATTTGACCGTGGTGTTGGAGCAAAGACCATGCAACAGAAGTTTTACACCTGAGTAGAAAAAAAAAAACAACAGACAGTTGTTTATTTCATACATGTAACCCTCTGTCTGAGCTGGAAGAGAAGGTATTCTTTCAAACAGCCAGCTCAGAAGATGCGGCTATGGTAAAACATACAACTTAGCAAATGTCTACTGCTGCTGGAAAGCATGAGCTTGAAACTTTCCAGGCAGATTTTTTTACATAGTCTCAAAGAAGGAGGTGCCTGGATAGAGAACTGCATGTGACTCTCTGTACCTTCCTAAAGCAGCTATGAAAAGAGCCCATATCCAGACAGGCCACACAGACAAGACACTTGCTGGCTTACTTAACCCTTGCTCACGCAGTAGGGACCGAGCAGACTCATCCTACCTCTTACAGGATCCCCACTCCACGCTTGCTAGATTTAATGATCTAGTGATCAGATCTAGCAGATTATCACCTGATTCCTCCCCCTCTATCAGCAGCTGCCACCAATCCTGTCTATTTAAGGCCAACAATAGCAGACATACTCTCGGGGACGTAGGGAAATTAACTCTGGCAACCAAGGGGTTCGTGACCGGTTTCAAACTACACTGCCCGCTCCCCGTCCAGCCACAGACCGGGCAAGTTCACCTGCTTGAAACGCGAATTAGTTCCCCGGCCGCCCTGCCCGCCTGCTGACGACTCCCGACCCACCGCGACAGCTCGACCGCTGCCAGGCCCCC